ATACAACCCAACACACGTGCAGCACTGTCCACACAATAAACACTGAAGAGACTGACTGACATACAACCCAACACAGGTGCAGCATCGTCCACACAATAAACATTTAAAGTCCCAAATCCAGCAACTTCTCTTGCAGGTTTTAAAAGTTAAGCTGCTGTAGCAAATTACTGGGCACTCTGGAACATGAACACAGGGAAAAATATTAATGTTGCACTCTATAAAGCACTGTATTGTGAGTGGAAAATGCAATGTCTTAAATGAATATATTTAAAATTGGCTCACACAACCCCCCCCAAACTTTGATACTTGCATTCATGCTGTTCAAAGTACAAATCTCGTGTCTCCAGCGGCTTGTCTTCCTGAAAGCACTCACAGGCTAACATTTAATTTTCTAGATTATGGCTGAGTCTCTGCTGTGAGTGTTGATGTCTGAGACATTGAGGTTTGGAAGTTACAGTTTTGCCATTGTTTTGATTCATATTCTTCATTCAAGGAATGCAATGTGCTCTATTGTTACTTTTTGTAGCAAATGTAACAAAACCGGTTTATAAATGAGTGGTCTAGCATGCTTAACATTGTCAATAAGACTTTACAAATATTTGTTAGTCAGGAAATTGGATTAGATTTTTCAGACAATACATTGTACTTATCTTAATTAAATCTTTTGTTGGTGATTAAAAGACTTGTCTAGACTTAGGGCCATCCTTCTGCATTTCCGTGGATGATGGCCAGTATTTTACATGAAGAAAAGGACTTTGGATTCATTTATCTAATTATGGGGGGGACCTAGAAATGTATTTGGTGGTAGGTCTTGTTATTGAATTTCTAAGTTGCAAGACAGTTGATTGATGATTTTTTCATTACAGTTCGGCTCAGTAGGTGGCATTGTATTTTCTTATGATGGTGAATTAACAAAAGGCACACAAAAGGAAAATGAATGGTGTTTGTTAGTGCTGAACCTTACTATAAAATAATAACTGGATATTTTCCTAGCTGCTACAGAGGAATGTGTTGAATTGTATATATTTGATAGAAAAGGGGAGGTGGGAGAAAGTGAGGCATAACAACTCTTGACCAGAAATGTGTCTTTACCTTACGTATGTAACTGTAATCCCTCTGTACATAAATCTATACAGAAAATAAAATTCTAAAAAGAAAAAGAAAATGGAATAAACTAGTGGGAAATAAAGAATTTTGGTACAGCAAAGGGCGAAAGCTCTTTCTTGCTCATGGAAAATGTTGGCGGGCTGACATTTGAACACTTCTTTTGTGTCTCAGTGGGCCTTCATCTGCTTCATTTCAGGATACATGGTAACAAAATGGGGATTCCAGTTTACATGGCAAGACTTGCAGGAGTTGCTGAAATTAATGCCGACAGATTAATAAAAATTATAAAAATTTGCATCTCTGAAAGAATTAATCGTCCCTTTTGTTATGTGGATTTAAATTGCACTTATGAAATTTAAATCTATATCATGAAATATTGGTTTTTAAGAAGTTTTTTTGAGTTACTACTCAAGGAAATTTAGAAAATCATTTAGTGATATTTTCTCATATTATTTACCCTGCCAATTTTTTTTTAAAAAGAATGAGCAATTTTAAAATTTCTCCTCAGGTTGTTCTTTGAAATTTCTTCCGGTCAAGCTTACTAGCCAGCTTTTCTGATCAGTGTGGAAGCCAAATAAGCTACTGGGTGCCAACAACTCACAAGGAACTTTACTCATGAGCTAAGTGAATGTACTCCCTTCCTTCTGCTGAGTTTCTGCTACTACCAGACGTTTGAGGTGTATTTGTGCTTTCATAGATAATTTAAGAAAGTGCTATTGACTGATTATTCCTTCTGTTTTGAAGCTCTCATGAACTCTGGTAATATTAAAAATATTTAAAGCAGGGAAGTTCAGATTTCATTGATACACAATGTGATGTTTCAACAAAGTAATAGAAGCTCTCAAAATCCATTATTGTGTAATTATCAAGAGCAATTTATGAGTAATTGTCCAAAAATTATAATTACATTATGCTCTAGAAGACCAGCAATACAATATTTGTTAGAACATAGTCTTGAATTTCATGGAAAAGGACCTTTCGGTGTTTCATCTTCATTCATTTATGTAGGTAGGTGATTTGTTTTTCTCTAGTTTACAGTAACACAATCTAAAACTGTATTTGCGCTGTCTGTAAGAGGATCACAGGATGTGTTGTTCCCCATTCTCTGACCCGGGCTGGCTGGCCGCTCCGAGGAGGACTCGCTGTCCTCCGTCCCCCGTCCCCCGTCCCCTCCCAGCAGGAGCAATGGAGG